TAAAAAACATCCTAAATTTTTTGTTCAAAAATCGGCGCATACCGATTGATGAAGATTTTCGTACGCTTTAATTAAAAAAAAAGATCCGAATAAAATTGAGGCCTCTAGAAAAATTTGTCCACAACCACCTACATTTGCCCCACTGTGCGTCGCACAGCAGTGACCACCACTGCAGTCACTTATGAAATATCAGTTTTTGAGTGACTAACTGTTGCCAATACTTTTTTGTTTTTGTCTAGCAGTAATTCACTACTACTTTTAACCCAGTTCTTGGGTAACTTTATGCGGCGGCAGCTAATTAAACTCCAAACAAACCTTTCCGTAACTTTCGAAAGAACTCTACAAAACAAACGGCACTCAAGTAAAAAACAAACAAAAAATGCACGCGTATACAATCACAATAATGGAAATGCTTAGTAGCAGAGGTAAGGGAAGCGTTAAAAAAAATAAAATCTTAATTTAAAACAATAGAACTTTGTCTGCAGGCGCTTTGTTGAGCAATCACAGCTGCAATTAAATTCAAAGAAGAAAAAGTAAAGAATAGAAAATGAAGAAGCTAAGCGCAGCTGTGAATCCAAGTCTTTGACGCGACAGCAAAGCGTCGATTTAAAGAAGATAAAGCTTACGTTTGCGCGACGAAATGAGATCAAGGCCCTATGCGCAAGTAGATAAAAATCGTATGTACACATATGGATACCTATATACATACATACAATGGAGTATGCATTCATATACCCTGTAAGAATGCTAAGACACTTTAATCGATTATACATAAAAAAATATATTAACTTTTTTAGTATGATGTTTTCCTCTATACTAGAATCTGCATACCTTTAGATAAAGAGTGCGTAATCTGGAGGAAAATTGAGTCAAAATAAGGAGTTAAAAAACCTACACTACTAATGCTGGATTTCCACTAGGCATAAATGGCAAAAATGACCAATGACAAAGTCGGGCATTAAAAAAAATCGTGTCATAACATTAAAAAAAAAAATTGTCCTTAAGTTAATTTCCACATGGCATTCTTTTAAATGGCATACATTTTTTGTCATTTCAATGCCTAGAGGAAATTCGGCATAAAAGCAAACAGAAAGTTTTTTTTCTGTTTTACTATCGGAATTATAAATTTGATTAGTCATATGTAAGAAAAATATTAAAATTTACGTGAGAAATCTGAATTGTCCAGAAATTGCCTCGAAAATCTCATTATTTTGATTCTGTTGATAAAATGTTCAAATATTTTTATGCAGATCTTTGAAGCTTAAACTCTTCTATCTAACTAAATTATTTTTATTTATTTAAAAAAAAAAAAAA